CTGGAGTTGATTTCGTTGAAACGAGTTGAAAAAGCTCGAGCTATCTGACAGTTGGTGCGTTCAGTACGCACTGCTGCTTCGGCTCAAAAATAAAATCTCAAACTTAGATCTCCACCGCTGGTCGGGAACGCCTTTTGGTATAGCCGCAAGCAACTGCCGGCTCGATGTAGTCGCACAGTACCCTGTCAAAGTTTTCGCTCGTACGTCCGATCATGCTTCTGCCTTTGCACTTTCTTGAAGCTCTGTTTATCTTTCACTTAATTGACCCTTCTTCTCGTTGTGCACTTTTAGGCGCGGCTACACCATGATGGAACTTGCTGGACTGGCTGGTGGGAAGTACCAGTTGATTGTGGCAACCTTCGAGCCCCGACAGGAGGGCCCTTTCATCATAAATCTTCGATCGCTGCGTCCTGTCGAAATAAGATGTATCAAATAACTGTTTGACTTATCTCCCTTGTGGCTACCTTCACCTACCAACGTGCTTTCAGAAGCAGTGTGATACTTTGTGCACAAACTAAAAACCGATATTTTTAAGAATGCTTTCTTTTCAACACTAGATTCGCTGTTGACGCCTAATGTTTTTTGACCTTGTGTTGTGTTTCGCACTAGTCTTTGCCTTTATTCAGTTATCTCCTGTACTTTAACGTCTGAAGTCTGCGTTACAGAGGAGACATTTGTCTTTGCTGCTCAGCAAAATTGTTCTCAGGGCGTCTTTGGAGGAATGACAAGGCGGATAAATTAGCCAGAACCTTTTCGTTCAAATTTGTACCCTAAATTCAAGCTCTGGTTAAGCATCACTCACGCTCTGTTGTGTGTTCAGCTGATCAGTACGCACGCAACGCGTTCTAAATGAGTGACTTCTTTCATTAAATGACGGTAACCCTAACTAGCAGATTTCAAATAAGGAAGAATGCCCGTACTAGGCGCAGCCAGCTGGTCTTACATGAGATCCGTCAACCACGTCTCTTAAAAGAAGTGGACTTTGTACGTTTGCAGTCAAGGGTGCGCAGCCTAGTTTGTTGACTGTAGTATTTAATTTTAATCCTCCAACGGGATACGATGTGGGTGTTCGGAACCCAACTTGATTGGTGGCCTACTTTTGTCGGGCTGCATTAACCTACCGTAAGGCCTTAGCATGCAACATGCCCTAGACGAAGAAAAATACCACGCCAACCACAGAGTTCGATCGATTGGCAGTTCATGGGTACATGAAGAGTAAAGAGCGAACGACGCCGATGCTGAGAAGGATCCGCCGTCCCAACTGTTTTGATAGTGGCCTCTGGGCGCTTAAAATGTATATTTATTTATAGATAATTTAATTCCCTTTTTTCATAAGTATGACCATCAAACATGACTGGGAAGGTTCTCAACCGATAAAGCAAATGGGTCTCCTGGAGGGGGATGAAGCCCCTGCGGCTCCTTAATGTGACCGTTACGACACCTCTCACTTCTCTGACGCCCGAGCATGTGTGTGTATAGAGATACGACTGCACATCCTGCGGGCCGCCATGCCAGGTCTTACTTGATTTGACTCAGACACGTCATGGGAAAGGGAAGAAAAAACGGTCTATACTATACTCACTGTGAGCAACTGAACGTGCGCTCAGCTACAGTGCACTTGAGCGATTGCCAATTTTCCACAAGTGATCCGTACCTATGGTTGAAGATTAGATTCTTGTGTCTTCACAAAGCCGACTTTGCAGCGTTTTCGCTTAAGTGGAATGTTAATCCCCCTCTTTCCCGAGCGAATTCCAGTATATCTGGCGTTAGGGGCCGGGTCGTGTGTAGCACGCCCTAGGAATTGTCTAGCTTTGTCTGGTATTATATCCGCGTGGATCTGAAAAATTGCTGATTTTTCCTTGTCATCAAATTTCGATGGGTAGACACGGAAAGCGTCTGGTAGGCACGGTGCAAGCCCTGGATGTTTCGCAATATTGGGTTTTAATTTTTGCCTCTCATGGTTAACACATATACTGTCGACTTATTTGGTGTCTTACAACAGGACCTATCTTAAAATGGTCTGCAAAAGCTAGTGAGAACGTGGTGTGGTGATTTTTGGTGCCCCGTATTTTAGATAAAAACACACCAGATTCTCGTAAGTTATGCCATATCTGATCACGATTCAGCCCACATTAGTACAAAGAAGCAACTTATCTTGTAGACAGGTCTGTGTATCGTTTCGCGGAGCCATCGGGTGGGAATTTCCACTCGCCTTTCGGAATGGAAGTCTGTATGCTTGCCAATGTCAATATTATTGTTTAATAGTTGATCCGATAAACTCAGCATTTGGTTCTCCGCATATTGAGCATTAATGCTAATTACGCTTTTACGGTTCATTTTTTTTCTGTGGACTGCTTTGAACATGCCAACTGGGATGGTAGAAACTGAAATTTTTCTTCGTAGTGCATAAATTCAGCAAATATATCCCAGCGACCACTTCTTCATCCGTTTCATTTAGTCGGCGAGCATATTCCCCATGAAGTCTTTCTACGCAGTGCAGTCATGCCCACAAATCAGGCAGATAAAGGAGCCCGAAGTAGCACTATGGGATATCATTTCCAAATTTAATCATTTGAGAGTTGCGATGCCAGGAGACACCCTATTCTCTCGTGGACAGAAAACGTTTAAACATTCTGCTCCGAATACCTTTTTTGAACTTCCCCACGGGAGAGGTCTAAAATGTCTTCCTGCAGATATAAAATATTGCATTTAAGAGGTAGTCGCTACCTTGGTCTTTGAAAATTTCTAGTGCGAATGAAGTAGACCACGTCATAACCCGCCCTGGATAATGCACAGTCTGAGGCTCTGTTCCACATATTTCGTTGGATATCTATTATATGGCCCCACCTTATTTTAGACGCACTACCGGGCCGTAGGGTGATCCAATCTACTTAAAATTTGTAAATAGGTGGTTATTATGCATAGGGTCCTTTCGAAGACCCCACAAGGAATCTTTACCAAAGTGCCTTCGGGATTGTTCTGTGTTCCGTCACTCGATAGGGGACGTCACCTTCTCATAAGAAGTTGCAAGAACATTATATTATGCAAATGTGCACCTTCCCAAAAAAATTTTGAAATAATCCGACACCCGCAATTTATCTTTGCAGCATACTGCAAGCAACTAGACTTCGATGCACCATAACAGCTCCAGCCTCCTTTCCGATTATGTCCATCGTGTGCCGCAGGGACGGTATCTTGCGCATGAATTATTTTTTAGTAATAATACACTTGCAGCCCACGCCTCTTGCGCTCACCATTCAATCATCCAATTGAACCCGGTGTCGGGATGCAGTCACTAACACTGGAAGGACGTGAACATGCGCCTGGACGTGCTGTGTCCTACCTTAGTGTCATATTTCTTGTGAGTGTGAAGCTCTCTAAACTCGGATAGTTAATTGACATACGGAATAGGTGAGAGAGAATGAAGCTTTACCCAGTGATCATTTTGTGTTCCGTATTATTATTATTACTATAATAAGGATACACGCCTGAACCATCTCAGTGTACTTACAGTAGTGGAGATCGCCAACTCAGTGGATAACTGGATCAAAGGTCCTATTGCAATGGGCTCGTAGTTTTGTTGTCTGAACCGACAGTAGAAAGCTCCCCTAATGGGGAATCGCG